ATGCAAATGATCACCCAGTTATTTCAGAAAAGTTACCAAAGAGCCCTTATTATTAGTGAAAAGCTCCTGTGCACCAGAAATACTGGGATATCAAGTAGGGGACTCAAGTAAAAATAGGGACATAGTATTCCAGCAATGGTGTCTGTTGCCCTAAACACAGATAATACCATGTCCAGCTTTCAAGATATGAAATTGGAAAGGGTTCAGCAGAGAGCCAGAAGAATATTCAAGGTCTGAAAAATGTGCCTTACAGCACAAGATTAAAGAAGCTTAGTTTATCCAAGAGAAGATAAAGATAAGACTTGATCGTGGTTTGTAAATACCTGCATGGGAAGAAGATTTTCCGATAGCTCTTTGAATTTAGTATACAAAGGCATAACAAAATCCAAGGTTGGAAGTTAAAGCTAGACAAATTCACACTAGAAATAAATCAGAACTTTAAGATGAGGGTAATTAACAAGCAGAACAGATTACTTAAGCATTTAGTTCTCCATCACTTGGAGTCTTTACATTAAAAGTCGGTGTATACCTAAAAAATATGCTTAGTTAAACCAGACTTCATGGATTTGACTCAAGAAACATTGGGTGAAGTTCTACTACCTATGTTCTTCTGAAGGTCGGAACAGATCATAATAGACCCTTCTGGCCTTAACGTCTATAAATCCAGTCAGTGTTTTCTATGTGATCTTGCCATTAGACTAATGGCAGATGTTACTTCTGACAATATAAGGCAAGAAATTCTTAGTGTGATAATTCAGTGGACTGTGTCCCTTTGGACATTAATTTTATGTCTAGACAGAGAAAAATTCTAAGGAGCACAAAACTGCTGAACTATGGTAATAATAGTAAATAGGTGTATGTGGCCCTGTCCCTTAATCAAGGGAAAGAAAAGAGTAGTTTTTCCAGAGTATATGTTTAAGGATATCATGTGTTGCAGAATAAAATGTTTGTGTTGAATTATTGCATTAAATCTTGTCAGATGACTATACAAATAACTAACCTGACTTACCTTTTGTTTAATCTGGTGCGTTTACCAGAAAAAGTGAATAAGATTTAAAAAAAAAAAAAACTCTCAAAAGAAACTCATTCACTAGCTCATTTGTTTCTTGTGAAATTCTGTGCAAGCACCAGTGAAGAACACGAGTATGCACAATCACACTTGACTAAAAACAGGGTAACACCAAACTGTCGGCGGCTGACAGGAGCATCTACAGGTATGAGATATTTCCAAAGAAACAAAGGCAGGAAGTAAGAGACAAACATGATCTAATTGTTTCAGCAACAAAGTGGGACTCCTGAGCTGTAATCTCAGCTCTGACAGTGACTCTGTGTGGCCTCAGTCACATCATAACTATTCTGTGCCTCAGTTTTCACAACTGTAAGAGAGATGATGGCTATCCCCAAAGGAATGTAGGGATTTAATATACTGATGTTTGCACAGAGGTTTGAAGATAAAAAGTGATGAGTGGTACTATCATAAATTTGAAATTAGGTGATTTAGAAGAGCTGTCTCAGGCCTACTAAATCTTTTATATGAAAGAGTGCATGGAAGAAACATATGTGCTTTTTTAAAACCCCTTCATTAGCTGAAAGGAGAATAAGCCTATTTATGTTATACGCACAGCAGACTCCTGCTGCAGGATAATATGAAGTGTCAGCACCAGAACCTCTCCCCCCCGTCTGTCTCATATCCAAACGAACAAAGCAACTGGGGGGGGGAAGAGGGGAGAACAAAAAACAAACAAAGATACCATTCTGCACCCTTCCTGGCTTCTCTTATCAACTTCCTGAACACATTGCAAAGATGAGATGAACAGTTCCTATTCTTCCAGCTGTATCTTCTTGTAGTATGTTCAGCTTTTTACTTGTCCAAGCTGAGCCAGCTTTTTGCCTCTGGGAAAACCCCATCACTAGGGTATAAGAGCCCTCCCATGATTGGCTGGAAGACCATTTTACTGTACAGTCGGTTTCTGTCCCAAATGCATTAAAAAAAAAGCAACAGAGGGTCCTGTGGCACCTTTAAGACTAACAGATGTATTGGAAAGCATAAGCTTTCGTGGGTGAATGCCCACTTCGTCAGACGCATAGCATTGAAAAGCACCTTTGATAACTGTGCCTGGACTTACAAAAGGGTGAGGTATTCAAAGGGATGAATTTCCAGAACATCACCACTGGGCCTCTCTCAGAATCTACTTGCCAGCCCCTGATGAGCCAAAGAGCCCCTTCATCAGCACTGGGGACGGCCTGCTTCTTTGTCCCCTGAAGAGCCTTCCTAAGCTGCTGCTCCAACCCCTGAAGCGTTGTGAGGAGCAGAATAGATGTAAAACATGTTTCTTCCAGCTGAATACTGAACCAATATCCCAATATGATTATCAGTGGGCATCATATTGCTGAAGGCATGATATTATGTGTAATCTGCAAAATTAGGGAATATGCTCACTCAGATTCATGAAATAGCCAATGTCACTTTTCATGACAGAAGGGGTGTTAAACCCTGGGGTACTAGACTTTCCCAGCCCCATGTAAATACATTACACCTTCCTAAGTTTCCCTTGCAAATTCTACTTGGTAGATTATTCATTTGGCTATACTGTTGCTGTGTGCTATTAAACAGTAATTGTGTTCCATCCCAGATGAGGCTACAGCAGATGGGTGAAGTGATCCAGTATTCTTTATGTACCTCTCAGACAATGCTACAAGACTCAGATAACTAAAAGTTTATAAAGCACCTCAAGACATTTGGATAAGAACTAGGGAAGAGTTGTTAAATAATCTATGTAGCTTACTGGGGGTTGCTGCCTTGTCAGTTTGATGACGGGGAGGCAGGACCTACCAGTTTTACATTCTAAACCACTAAAAACAGAAATTTTATTTCTTTTAAACTACCTGATAGCATTTCTTAGGTACTGTGAGTTCACACAGAAAGCAGATAACAGGATCTCTCCCTTAAGGCCAGGAAGAAAAAAATATCAAATTAGATGTTTAAAACCCAACATAGAACAAGATTCATGCCATTTATCATATGTTCTAGATCTGCACAAAGGTTTGATAAACAAACGATAGAAGCATGGTTTGCCTATGCTGCAAAGGCAATGAGTAGCATAAGGGTTCCACGTCCCTAAGAACCTTTCTTTCAGCCATCATCTAGTCTAGAGACTTTCACAAACTCTTTCTGCAGAGACGAGGGGCTCTATAAGGATACAGAAACAAATTGCTCTTCTAAAGGCATCTTGAAGAGAGCAGCTGACATTCTTCAGTGTGAAGTGCCAATGGTTAGGAACCATTAGGAAAGGGATAAATAAGACAGAAAATACTATAATGCCTCTATATAAATCCATGGTACGCCCACACCTTGAATACTGCATGCAGATCTGGTCACCCCCATCTCAAAAAAAAAGATATATTAGAACTGGAAAAGGTACAGAGAAGGGGAACAAAATGATTAGGGGATGGAACAGCTTCCATATGAGGCGAGATTAAAAAGATTAGGACTTTTCAGCTTGGAAAAGAGATGACTAAGGGGGACATGATAGCAGTCTATAAAATCTTGACTGGTGTGGACAAAGAGAATAAGGAAATGTATTTACTCCTCCACATAACACAAGAACTAAGACATCCAATGAAATTAATAGGCAGCAGGTTTTAAACAAACAAAAGGCAGTCCTTCACACAACGCACAATTAACCGGTGGAACTCTTTTGTCAAGGGATGTTGTGAAGGCCAAAACTGTAACAGTGATCAAAAATAAAACAAAAAAAAACCCTACAAGTTTATGCAGGATAGGTCCACCAATGATTGTTAGCCAGGATTGTCAGGGATGCAGTAACATGCTCTAAGTGTCCCTAGTCTCTGTTTACCAGAAGCTGGGAGTGACAACAGGGCATGGATCACTTGATGATTACCTGTTCCGTTCATTCCCTCTGAAGCACCTGGCATTGGCCACTGTTGGAAGACAGGCTACTGGGCTAGATAGACCATTGGTCTGACCCAAAATGGCCATTCTTATGTTGTGGGCCATTCTTATTTCTAATGCTTAAACACTTACATTTTCTTCTCTATCTAGGTACATATCTACCACCCAGCATCATTTCCTAGAGCTCAGTACTTCTCTCTTACACATGCTAAACAGCACTCACTGAATACATTATGAAAACACATTTTAAACAAATTTATCAGGAGATAATAAGCACATGAGTGAACACACACAGCTAAGTCACCACAGTGATTTGAACTGGAGATATCCCCAATTCTCCACTACCTTTGCTGCTAGTAATTGGTGAAGCCTTTTAGCACAGATGGCGCCTCCCCGGGAGAGGGCAGCACGGCACAGCTCCGCAGGATGGGGAGAGCCTCCAGGCCGGATCACTGGACAGGAACTCAGGACTCTGAAATCCATTCCCTGTAACTCACCGCCCCGTCCCGGCCTCACGCCTGGAGGCCGCACTAAGGCCAGACTCATGGGCAAAGGGAGCCAGCCCACGGCTCGGAGCGAGCCCACGCGTGGGGCAACCCAGAGCGCTCTTCAGCCCAGCGCACCTGACCCGGACTCCGCCCTGCTCCCACTTCCACCTAGACCCGGCAACACGGGCCGCCGCCGCACCCGGAGATTTCCGCCTCCTCCCACCTGCAGCAGCAGCAGCCGCCGCCCTTCGGTCCGCGCCTCCAACAGCCGCCACCACCGCGCACGAGTCCAGACCACGAGCGGAACCGCCGCTTTAATGCCCCATCCCGGGTCTCCCCGCACCACCGACACCTGCCCGGCAGGCAGAGCCACTAACCCCACCGGAACCGGAAACCAGCGCCGCCCACCTGACAACACAGCGGGGGAGAGCCACTTTCAACATGGCGGAGAGACAGGCACCTCGTCGGCCACACCCAGCATGGCGACTGGACTCATTCTCGCGAATCGCCGCCCAGCAGAGCGGAGAGAGCGCGAGCAATTGGCTAGAGCCGCGCGGCACTGAAATGACCAGTTCCCAGAATGCAAGGCGTTTGCAGTGCTCGCTGATTGGCTGCGGGAACGCACGCTCCTCTTGTCCTGCGCCGCGGTTCTCTTTCAGGTCGCGAGCGCGACTCGCCTCCGCCGTTTTCCTGTGGGAGCTGCGGCGGGCCCCGGGGAGGTGGTGGGGCCTGCTCGGTCCGGGCCGCGTGATGGGCGGCGGGGCTGCTGCGCTGTTGTGGAACCAGGAGGACGCGGCCTGTGAGTAGGGGGCTCTGTCGGGCTCCTCGCCTCGCGGCTGTGCGGCGGGCAGGGGCTCGAGGGGCTGGGATGGGCAATGGCTCAGGAGTGTGGCTCAGGGTTATGGAGATCCGGTAGGGCGCTGGGGATGTCGGGGCAGACAGGCATAGGAGGTGGTAGTGGGCTCCGTGACTGTGGGAAGGCGGGCGGGACGGCTCTTGCACCGTAGAGCGAGAGAGTGTCTTCTTCCTAACGCCGAGCCTCTTGATCTTTTGCCATTGGGTTGAGTAGAATTTATTTTGTTTTAAAGCAAACACCCATTTACAGGTCTTTAACTCCTCACTGAGAGCCATGCTGGGTGCTGAACTCTGCCAGTAGTATCCGCCCCGCTTTATGCCCATCCTCACTCACTCTGTCACACAGGTATATTAAGTTAAAGTAGGCACATATCTGAAAACAGGTGTGAACTTGCATCTAAATATGTCCAGTGAGTGAGCTCGTTAGTGTGCAAATGTTAATTTGTTCTTGTAACATGCCAAAATATGACTAGTATGCATTTTGGAAGATTTTGCATTTTAAAGTAATCACTTACACTTATGAATATGTTAACCCACAAAATTTTCCTTTTTTAAAAATGTTACATGAACTCTTCTCGTTTGATTTCAGTTATGAACCCTTCAGCATATTTCTGAATTTCAACTTCAAAAACATATGAACTGTGGGTAAAAGTTTCAGAGTAGCAGCTGTGTTAGTCTGTATCCACAAAAAGAACAGGAGTACTTGTGGCACCTTAGAGACTAACAAATTTATTTGAGCATAAACTTTCGTGGGCTACAGCCCACTTCATCGGATGCATAGAATGGAACATATAGTAAGGAGATATATATACACATGCTGAGAACATGAAAAGGTGAGAGTTGCCCTACCAAACAATCCTTTACGTGTAGTTTTGAAAGAAATTATAACTGACCATTTATTCTTTGGCTAATTGGCTTCTTTTCTTTCATGAATTTTTTTTATTTCACGTGAGATACTGTTTCCTTCAGAGGAGGTCTAGGATTTGTGGTCTTCATGGACCAGATATGTTCTGAGGAATGGCTTGAAGGAGAAGGGGATTGAGGTATGATGTATGATGTTCGGAAGTGGATTCTGGACTCCTGTTGGACCTTCCTGAAAATGTCTGTCATTCCTCCATTCACAGCTCCTTTGAGTCCCTCTTCTAAATACCAACACAGATAAATTCTTATGGTATGCCTGTACTGCAAAAAGAAAATAAATCCAAAACCCTGTGGCAGTGAGTCTTAAAGCCTGGGTCAACTGATTCAGGTGAGCTCTATGTGTCTAAGGCAGGGGTGGGCAAACTATGGCCCACAGGCTGGATGCGGCCCACCAGCTGTTTTAATCCGGCCCTCGAGCTCCTGCTGGGGAGCAGGGCCTGGGGCTTCCCCTGCTCTGGTGCTCCAGCTGGGGAGCAGGATTGGGGGCCACTCCCCGCGGCTCCCGGAAGCAGCGGCATGGCCCCTCTCTGGCTCCTATGCGTAGCGGCAGCCAGGGAGCTCCGCTCTGCACACTGCCTCAAGCGCTGGCCCTGCAGCTCCCATTGATCAGGAACTGCAGCCAATGGGAGCTGCAGGGGCGGTGTCTGCAGATGGGGCAGCGGGCAGAGCCGCCTGGCCGCACCTCCATGTAGGAGCCGGAGAAGGGACATGCCCCTGCTTCCGGGAGCCACTTGAGGTAAGGGCCGCCCAGAGCCTGCACCCCTGAGCCTCTCCATGCACCCTAACCTCCTGCCACAGCCCTGATTCCCCCTCCTGCACCCTGAAATCCTCATTTCTGGCCCCACTTCAGAGCACTCACCCCCGCCTGTATGCCAACTCCAATTTTGTGAGCATTCATGGCCCAATATACAATTTCTATTCCCAGATGTGGCCCTCGGGCCTAAAAATTTGCCCACCCCAGTCTAAGGCCTTGTCTACACTACAAAGTTTTGTCAGCAAAAGTTATGCTGTTTTAATTAAAACTACTGTTGCATGTCCACACTGGCTCCTTGTCTCAGCAGAGTGCATCCACTCTAACAGCTCTTGCATCGACAGAGCAGTGCACTGTGTTAGCAATCCCATCTTCCAGGGCATCCTAGTAGATTGTCAGTGCTTTTTCAACTGAAGTGTGGGGTGGAGAAGGAGAGGAGAATGGTGTGTTTGCGGCGTGTGAGACAGCAGGCTGACAGACCTATCCTGAGGCATGGGGAGGGGGGGACACACCCTCCCACATCAGCCCCCAACTCTACTCAGCACAGCAGTCTCTCCTGAAGCAGCCCGCTCTGCCTACCTGCCTATGGTTCTGTGATTCCCACAGCCTCCTCAGCTGCCAGGAGTGGCATCCTGAGCAGCTCTGTGAGCTCTCCACTGTGAGGAATGTCAAAGTCTCACAACAGTCCCACGCCTCCCCTTCCTGCCTGCCTGCCACTGTGTTCCTAGTGCAGGTAAGAACAGGAGAATTCTACGTTAATGATTTGCTCTTTGTTCCCCAAATGGAAGCAGCATACTCCTCTGTCAGATATTTCCTGGAGCTTTGAAAGGTGAGGAGTACATGCCTGCAGGGCAGCAGAAATCAAAACAGTGAGCACAGCTGTCATAGCAGGCATTGTGGGATACTGGTGGAAGCCAGTTATGTCAACAAAACAAAGTGTCCACGCTGGTGTTTTGTTACTTTAACTTGGCCACAAAAAGGTTTGTGTCTCTTGATAGGTGGTTTTATTTTGTCGTCAAAAGTAGCTTTTTAGTGGGTACACCTCCCCTGTTTTGTCCGCAAAAGGCAGCTTTTGCTGACAAAACTTTGTAGTGTAGACAGGGCCTAAAAGTAGCAGTGTAGACATTCTTGCTTGCACTGGAGCTTGGGCTCTGGGCTTTAGCCCCAGCAGGAACCCCTACACAGCTATGTTTAGCTCCATAATGCAAGTCCAAGTCAATTGACCTAGGCTCTGAGACTTGCTGCTGTGGGGATTTTTTTTTTTTTTTTTTTTTTTTTGCTTGCACTGTAGGTGTACCCTTAGATCTCTGTCCTGTAAACACTAAGGCATTTAAGTATCTTTATTATTGTAAGTGATTCATGTGGACCCACTTGCATGAATAAAGTTATATATTTACTAGGGCTGTCGACTAATTGCAGTTAACTCACGCGATTAACTCAAAAATTAATCACGATTTAAAAAAATTAATCACAGTTTTAATTGCACTGTTAAACAGTAGAATACCAATGGAAATTTATTAAATATTTTTTGATGTTTTTCTACATTTTTAAATATATTGATTTCAATTAAACAGAGAATACAAATTGTACAGTGCTCACTTCATATTTATTACACATATATGAACTGTAAAAATAAACAAAAGAAATAGTATTTTTCAATTCGCCTCATACAAGTACTGTAGTGTGATCTCTTTTTATCATGAAAGTGCAACTTACAAATGTAGTTATTTTTTTTTTTTTTTTGTTATATAACTGAAGTCAAATACAAAATGATGTAGGCTCTGTTGGAAAATAACAGAGTTCTCACTTTTTGTTTGGGTACAGCAAATCAGATACTTTATTTTCTTTCTATCAGTTGCATAGAGGGAAAGAGCTAAGCAGGTCTCTCAACAGGTAAACAATTTCAGCAAGCATTTATACCTTTTGTTACAGACAATAATGAGCAACAGCTGCATTTTGTTTATACATAGGTCATTCTGATATCTTGTTTTGCTCACTAATGTAGACTCTTAGTCTACATTCCATATTATCTACACATTATCTACACAAGGTCGCAACAACTTCTCTCACAGTTCTTTCCCACTCGCCTCACACATTCCTCGCTTCTACAAATCTCGCGTTATTACGGTTACAGTTAGCCTAACTCTTGCTAACGAACTGTCATGCATTGCATCCCCTTCCTGTCAGTTCTTTCTCTGCTTCCACAGCTCTAAAGTTTTACAAGTCCACTCAGTCCTACTTCTTGTTCAGCCAGTCGCTAAGACAAACAAGTTTGTTTACATTTACAGAAGATAATGCCTCCTGCTTCTTATTTACATCATCTGAAAGTGAGAACAGGCATTTGCATGGCATTTTTGTAGCCAGCATTGCGAGGTATTTACGTGCCAGAAATGCTAAACATTCATATGCCCCTTCATGCTTCAGCCACCATTCCAGAGGACATGCTTCCATGCTGATGATGCTCGTTTAAAAAAATAATGCGATAATTACTTAGTGACTAAACTCCTTGGGGGAGAATTGTATGTCCTCTGCTCTGTTTTACCCGCATTCTGCCATATATTTCATGTTATAGCAGTCTCGGATGATGACTCAGCACATGTTCATTTTAAGAATACTTTCACTGCAGATTTGACAAAACACAAAGAAGATACCAATGTGAGATTTCTAAAGATAGCTACATCACTCAACCCAAGGTTCCAGAATCTGAAGTGCCTTCCAGAATCTGAGAGGGATGAGGTGTGGAGCAGGCTTTCAAAAATCTTAAAAGAGCAACACTCTGATGCAGAAGCTACAGAACCCAAACCACCAAAAAAAGAAAATCAACTTTCTGTTGGTGACATCTGACTCAGATGATGAAAATGAATGTCCTTCGGTCCGTACTGCTTTGGATAGTTATCAAGCAGAACCCGTCATCAGCATGGATGCATGTCCTCTGGAATGGTGTTTGAAGCATGAAGGGACATATGAATCTTTAGCGCGTCTGGCACGTAAGTATCTTGCAACGCCAGCTACAACAGTGCCAGGCGAACGCCTGTTCTCCTTTTCAGGTGACATTGTAAACAAGAAGAGGGCAGCATTATCTCCTGCAAATGTAAACAAACTTGTTTGAGTGATTGGCTGAACAAGAAGTAGGACTGAATGGACTTGTAGGCTCTAAAGTTTTACATTGTTTTGTTTTGGACTGCAGTTTTTTTTAACATAATTCTACATTTGTAAGTTCAACTTTCATGGTAAAGAGATTGCACTACAGTACTTTTATTAGGTGAATTGAAAATACTATTTTTTACAGTGCCAATATTTGTAATCGAAAATAACTATAGCATGAGCACTGTACACTTCGTATTCTGTGTTGTAATTGAAATCAATATATTTGAAAATGTAGAAAACATCCAAAATATTTAAATAAATGGTATTCTGTTATTGTTTAACAGTGTGATTAATTGTGCGATTAATCACGATTAATATTTTTAATCACTTGACAGTCCTAATATTTTTACTTAAGTGTTTGTCATTTTGGGCCCGCAATTTGCTGTCACTGTTATATTTCATTTTAAACAACCTTGCTTTTAGTCTGGCTATTATTTACCCTTCTCTCCCCTTCTCCTCTTCCCCCTTCTTCCACCTCCTCCCCTCACCCGAACTTAGTGCTGCTGAAGGGATTGCTTCTGGCTTGTCAGCCCTGGATATGGCATGACCTCTGTTTACATAACAGGTGCAGCATGGGCAGCACAGTGTAGTTCCCTGTATCACCAGGGATTCTAGTTTTCTGTTATTAAAAAGCCCAAAATTCTCCAATTAAAAAAACAGAAGAATCAGTGTTTTTCCATGATTAAAATGAAACGCTGAACTTTAGTTTCCCTAGCCACAATATATATAGGCATCAGTTGAACACAATGTTTTATTGATATAATTACAATTTTTAAGCAAGTTCGAAGCCTACCAGTGCCATCAGTCATTATTACAAAATAAAATTAACAGAATGAACCAGTCACAGTGCATTGTTTACTGTTGTCCATGGTCCTGCTGTTGCAGTCTCTTGTTTTCATTTCTTTGCATTCAGTTTATGTTTAGCGCTTTTCATGTGTTCTACAGTTGTCTGATTTTGAATGTAATCTACAGATGTGCTGCATACAGTACAAAACAGCACATTACCATTAATGTGAAATTTGTCCTTGCCAAATTCAGTCTTTAGGGGTGATTTTTCAAGTTTTTGGCATCTTTTCATAACTTTCACTACTCATTTCTGGAGGCTGACGTGAAATTTGAGATGCATTAAAACATGAATCCCTATATGCCATTGAGTAACCAGAAGCAATTTATTGGCGTATGGTTAGCTATGTAAATGTAAAACACATTCAAAAATCAACCCCAGGAATGGGAGGTTGCATACATCGAATAAGCAAAACTGGTACTTTCAGTAAAATTTAGTTAATATGTTTTTATTTTTACACAAAATCTAAAAACTTTTTTTTAAAAACAGAAAAATGCAAATTCCTCTTTTTTCCATGGCAAATGGATTTCTAGGATGCCTGCACATCACAAATATGCCTCAACTCTGAACTGGAAGGATTATGAGA